GTATAAGATTCTTTTTAGGTAAATATATTCTTCCTAGTGAATATAAGCCAATTTGCTGTAGAGAAATTGCATAAATTTAAAAAATAATAAAAACTAACTTTTACTCTGTGTTTGTTCCATGGTAGGCAACACACTAAGCTTTTTACAAGTATTATCTGTTATCCTCACAGTAATCCTATTGTGGCAGATACTATTCACATTCTCATTTCACAAATAAATAAACAAAGGCTTAGAGGAGCTAAATAATAACATAACTTATATTGTCAATACAGTAAGCAATAAAGCCAGGACTCAAATCTAGGTCTCTCTGACTCCAAAATATAGGTTCATGACCAAAACCAATTGTTATATATAAAGCCATGTATTCTTATCAAGTACAAAGAAAGGCCTGCTTATGTATATATACATGCTTAGATTAATGTTCAAAATAGCAATCTTGTTTGATTTATGAGGAAATTATTGACCCTTCACTATTGTTTTTATATCCTATTCCTCTTTAGCATTCCCAGTTAATTTTCAGATTTCTTTAGCATCTAGTAATTCTCTAATCTTCATGTGAGGTCCCATTATCTCCCTGTTCATCTTCCTTCCCTCTCAACACATTGCTGGGTTCAGCACACAGATTGGATATGTTTAGTAAATAAGGAAGGTCTTGTCTGGAAATACCAACATTTATGGTGTCTCTCAGAAGGCCAGATTCATTCCTGACCTATGCTTCTGAAGTCAGGACTATTGAACTTACCATTGCTCAGCCCAGCACCCCATCAACACAAAAACTTACACAGGAGAAAGAAAGGCCAAAGCAAATGTGCATTCATGATGAGACGGGCCAATGGTGCCAGAGGAATTTGCTGAGTGGGAATGGAGAAGTGAAGAGTTGTTTGTTCTTCATGAGAGAGTGTGGCTTTTCTCCAGAAAATAAAATAGATGCCAGCTGAGCAGGGGCATCTCTAGCACTGAAGCAGTTGAGTACCTAAGAAAATGGATACAATAGAATGGATTCACAGATGGGGCTAAAAATGTTTGGATGGAGGTCTTTCTGGACACAGACCCATGTACTTAGGCAAGGAATAGTTCGTGCCCAGGGTTATTTGTCTAAATAGTGACCAAAAGCTTTGATCAGACCCTTGCCAAAGGACAGAACTTTAAAGTAATTTACCATGCAGATGTGTTTTTTTTCAAATTGTTGGGTTGAATCTGTTTTTCATGGTGGGAAGGCACCTCAAATAATCAAGATGCATCGTGTTCAGGATCTAATTTCCCAAATGTCAGCATGCAATACATTTCAAAAGTAATTCACTTTGCAATGTGTTTTTCCCATTACACTCATATGGCAGAAATTATTGCAAATAATAGCCTAGGAAGTTGGGATCATCGTTATATCAACTAAGGGGTCTAACTGGGCTGTTGACAGTAAAGGTTATTTCTACTGAAAATAAAAAGAGAATTTTGCGCTATTTTAAAAATAAATATTTGACATCTTCTATCAATTGCCCCTCCACCTCTCTCTAGCCTTACATTCCCTCAATTCCTCAAGCCTGTTTATAGTTGCCTGAATTGACTTACTATATTGCCTCTGTGTTTTGTGTGTTATTTTTCCCTGCTTAGAAAAATCTATGGCCCATTTCTTCCATGTTTCTCACCTTCAAAATCAGAACTGCATCTTTTCAGATGCCTTTCCTAATAATCACATCCCAAGTGTGATTTTAATTTTTTTTAGTTTCCTTATCTATTGCAGCTTGAGTCTACACTATTCCATATTTTCTTGCACTTACAAAAAATTTTTAAAATTTCATATAAAGTTGTTTTATAGGTGTGCATTTTAGCCTTTGTTTAGAATTTTACATCCTCTGAAGAGCTCAAGGGCTATGATTTTTATTTCTTTAGCATCTAGGAATAGTACAATGACTCATGTTAAAATGACATAAATGCTATACCTGTGGATAAACTTTGACCAGCCTGATACATTTGACAGCGATAGCAAGAAGGATTTTATTAAACAAGCATCAAGTGAATTTCAAAAGGTTAAAGATGAGATGTAATCATCCAATCTGTCCCTCATGGATCATTCATCCAAGAATTTATTAAAGCTTTTCTTATTTGTATTTGTAGGAGCTGTCTTTATCAAACCTCAGGATAACAATTTATTAATAATGGATAGATGAGTCTGTCCTAGAAAACAACAAGGTTATCTGCTCATTACCAATTTATTCTTCAACAAATTTAATTATTTGACAAACATTTATTGAGGATATACCGCATAGATAACTTACAGTAGATCCTGAAAGACCATTCAATATTGAGAAATAAAAACACACAAAGTAAATAAAAATAAAAAAGGGAACAAAGTTGTAATAGTTTAAGTATTAAACTGAAGGTATCATGATGTAAATTTGGCCTCAAATGATTGGGAAAAGAGAGACCAAAGGCACAGAGGCAAAAATGCACATGTCTGTTTGGATGATGATGGATAGTTAGTCCAGCTGAATGAAAGAATACATGAAGAGTTTTTCAAATATACAATGTTATTATTGTTGTTTTAAACAATCAATATTAATTTAGATGTTCATTTTCTGGTGTTCTTTATTCCTTCCTGCATTTCTGGGCTTCCAGCAGGTATTATTTTTTACTTGTCGCAGAAGAATTCCATTTGTTACTTTTTCCAGTACAATTGCTTACAATGAATACTCTAGATTTTTTTTAATGAAAATGTCTCTATCTCACCTTTATTTTTAAAGATAAAAAATTATCTCTATTTAACTTCCATTTTATTGGGTATATAATTCTAAGTATGCAAGTTATTTTTTCTACTAACATGCCATTCCATTATCTTCTGGTTTCCATTATTTGTGTTGGAAAAGTTAGCTGTCAATCCTTCTTTGCTCATTTGAGGATAATGTGCCATATTTTATTATGGCTAATTTTAATATTTATATTTGCATTTACTTTTCAATGGTTTGACTAAATGTGGTTTTCTTTGGTTTTGTCCTGTTTCAGATTCATAGAACTTCTTGAATTCTTGGCTTGGTGACTTTTTTACTTTTGGGAAATTCTTTGGTGGTTTTCTTGTTTTAACCAAATTTTATAGCTGTTTTCAACAAAAGAGTTAGTCATAACCAGAAATGGAAGTAAAGCCACTAATTTAGAAATAATAAAATTGTATTCCCCTTAAGTGATTTTAAAAATCTAATTTTTTAATATGTTGACAAGCTATTTTTAAAATTTGGATGGAGCTGGGCATGGTGGCACATGACTGTAATTCCAGTGACTCGGGAGGCTGAGGCAGGAGTATCACAAGTTTGAGGCCAGCTCAGCAACATAGGGAGAACTTCAGCAACCTAGCAAGACCCTGTCTCAAAATTAAAAATAAAAAGGGCTGGGTATAGCCGGATGAGGGGGCACATGCCTGTAATCCCAGTTGTTCTGGAGGCTGAGACAGGAGAATCACGGGTTCAAAGCCAGCCTCAGCAACAGCAAGGCACTAAGCAACTCAGTGAGACCCTGTCTCTAAATGAAATACAAAATAGGGCTGGAGATGTGGCTCAGTGGTCAAGCACCCCTGAGTTCAATCCTGGTACCAAAAAAAAAAAAAAAAAGGCTGGGTATGTAACTCAATGGCAAAGCACTGCTGGGTTCAATCCTCAGTGCCAAAAATTACTTATTTACTTAATTAATTAGTTTAATTTAATATGAATGAAAAAAGACAAAGAAAGTAGAATAGCCAAAACAATTTTGAAAAAAAGGACAAAAATTGAAGTATTCAAATTGCATGGTTTAATATTGAATATAAAATGATGGTATTCAAGAAAGTATGGCATGGGTGAAAGAATAGACATATAGATCAATTGAAAAAATATAAAGTTTGGAAACAGGCTAATACATATATGGTCAATTAACTTCCGACTACAACAATTAGTTAGAGAAAGGAATAAAGAATTCTCAAAATTTGACAGTAAGAAAATCAAGAATTTGCTTTAAAAAAAATGGGCAGGGGCTGTACTGATGGCAGATGAGTAATATTTTATGTGCATCACAGAGCAAGGTCATCAAGGAAGCACAAACCACTACATGTTTCATAAAATGGTAAAAATGATAATACCAAGTGCTGATGAAGAGGCAGAGCAACTCAGGCACTGCCTGTCAGGGTGCAGAATGGTGCGGCCATTCTGACAGCTTCTTGTGAAGTTAGACACATTTAACCTATGATGCAGCAATATCACATCTAGGTATTTGTCCAAGAAACATGAAAAAAAAAACTTTTGTTAAATAAATGAAATCTTATTTTTGTACAAAAACCTGTACATGAATATTTATTGCAGTTTTCTTTAGAATTGCCAAAACAAATGACTTCTGATAAATGAATAAATATCTGGGGTGGATCCATACAAAGGGTACTATTTAGCAATAAAAAGAATATGAGGCTAAATCTCAAAGCATGATGCTAGGTGAAAGAAACAAGATTTGAAAAGCTACATATGAGGGTGGGGGTTATGGCTCAGAGGAAAGAGTGCTCTCCTAGCATGTGAGAGGCACTGGTTTCCATCCTCGATACCACATGAAAATAAAATAAAGGTATTGTGTCCACTTACAACCAAAAAATAAATGTTGTTTTTTTTTAAATTTAATGTTATCCAAACTGAATAATTTATTGCTGGTCTGAGGCTTGCCTTGTTTTACACTTTAGTAGAATTTACACAATTTTGTTTCCACAAATAGCAGATATCAACATTAAAGGAATTTGATAGTGACCTATTCAATAAGGTAATCATCTTAGTAGCAAGCTTTTATTTAAATCTTACATAACTCAAGCTTTATAAAAAGCCAACATAATTGAAAATTGGATTCTCCCTCTAAAGCCTTAAGTATCCAAAGCTTGAAACGGTTAATTTAAAAATAAGCAAACAAATGAAACACAACAACAACAACAAAAACCCTGCAGCAGATCCTGCTGAAAATTTACTTTTCAAAAAAATCTAAATGAGCTTAATCTTTATAAAAGTTATTTTAGCTCAAAAGCTATAAAATCAAAGTTATCTTAATTCTACAAAGAAGGGAGAGGGTCTTTGACTTCATGCCACCATTTTAGAACCTCATCTTTTTCATCAAATTTGGCCATAAATCAAATTTTTGTGTGCTCCTGCTCTCAGGAGATTCCTCTTGCAGAAGACGCCAAGTATAAACATGGAAGAGTAACTGCTTAAGCAAGTAGGAAAGTGTTCCATAATAGTGTGCAAAGAATGTAGAGTTCTGGTTTAATCTCTGGAACTTGATCTGGACATTGACCTTGAGCGAGATCTAGAACAGGATCTTGAAGTAGCTCTTTTTGGTAGAGGAAACACAGAAGGAGCCTTTGAGGGTGGAACAGGAAGGGTGAATTGGAAGGGTGTCTGGCTCCTTGATCTTGATTTTGACTTTATATCACCTTTTCCATTTTCTTTGGGGGACTGAGATGGAGACCTGCTTCGGGACATTTTATACTCATCCTTAGATCTGCTTCGAGAATGTGAATGGGAACCCCGATCAGACTTGGGCTTAGATTTGCTTTTTGATCTAGATTTCCTGCCTTTTGATCGAGAACGTGATCGACCTTTGCTCCGCGACCTGGTTCGGGAGCGACTTTTTGAGAAACTTCGAGATCTACTGCGGCTGCTCCTGCAACTCCTACTTCTTGACCTCCTTCTTGATCGTGACCTAAATCTGCTTCCAGAATAAGACCGCCTATGGCTTGCTCGTGGCTTATCTTCAATAAGTCTAATATTCCTGCCATTTATCTCTGTACCATCCAGTTTATCCAAAGCACGATTCATGTCAGAGTAGGAGCGAAATTCAATTACACCTTCATTTGTACGTTCTCTGTGAGCATCTGCATATGTTACTTCACCTGCTTGCTGCATGAAATCCTTTAAATCTTGCCAGCTGCAACGACTAGAAAGATTTTCGACAATAAGCCTGTACTCGGTAGGAACAGGAGGTCCATGTTTGTCTCAACTGCTGTATCCACCTCCACCACTGCGGCTTCCGTAGCCGTCGCGCGCGGCGCGGGCCCCGGACGTGCTCCACGATCATGCGCGCGCCGCAGAGCTCCTTGCTGTTCAGCTCCTAAACGGCGTCGTCGGCGTCGGGGAAGTCCTGGAACTCCTCGAAGCAGCACCCATTTTTGAGGTCTACTTCGAGGAAGCGGCCTTAGCCGCTGAAAAGGCGCTGGATGTCCTTCGCGCGGGCATTGTAGCTCAGGCGTCCTAGGTAGACACGAGGCTTGTCCGTGGTGGGCGAGGTCCCGAAGGCTGGATGTGGGACTGCGGACAGCAAGGCAGTAGCCCTGGAGCGGTGCGGGGACGGCGAGGGCCCGAACACGCGCCTCACACCGCAGCGGTGGCTGAGTCCAGCCACACAATGATCAATGTTGTTTTTTTCTTTTTTAAGCTACATATGAATCAATTTATATGACATTCTAAAAATGAAGTATAAAAATAGATAATGGCATGGTGAGGGGTTGCCAGGAACTAGGATGGCATGGAGAGTTGACTACTAAAGAGCACGAGGAAAGGTTTTAGTGGGTGTGAAACTGTTCTGTATCTTGATTGTACTGGGGATTATATTACTGTCTGTATTTGTGAAATTTCAGAACTGTACAGCCAAAGAATTTTTGCTGATACATTTTGAAAATGTGAATTAAAAACAATAAAATGTTTTGATTCTTGTCTTTTTTTTTTTTTTTTTTAAAAAAAGCCTACTGTAAAATTTATTTGCATTTGTTTTAACACAAAGATTCAGAAAATTACATAAAATGTATAGTTAAATAAATTTTTATAAGGCCAATATCCTTGAAAGCCCATGAAGATAAAAAAGAAGAAATGGAACATTAAGGCGGAAGGAAGGAAGGAAGGAAGGCAGGAAGGGAGGGAAAGAAGGGGCACTTTACTTCCCACTCTAGAATCCCTTCCCATATGTCCAATGTGAATCACAGGCCCCTCTATCATCCCATAAGTCACCATTATCCTGACTTCTATATTAACCACTTTCTAGCTCTTTCATTGTTGTTCTTCAAATGAGCATTCACGAACACTATAGTCTTGCCCAACTTTTTAAAGTTCTGTTTTTAAACTCCCTTCTAAGCTGTTAGTTCTCCTCTCTCCTTTCTTTTCCTTATAAAAAAGATTATCAGGCCCATGTTCTGATTTGACTGACTGCACACCTGTGGTATGATTGAGCATGTTCTTCTATTCTCCTGAAACTTGAATGCTAGACCCAAAGAGCAGGTGGGACTCAGGTTCCCTCCTTTTCTAAAGTTGCTGCCAATACAACAGGAGTTACATAGTGCTTGGTATCTCTTGTAGAAGGTTTTGCCAAGAAATTGGTGACTGGCAAGACAACAGAAAGCAATGATGTCTGATTATTTATCTTTTTGTGTTATTAGCAGCTGTTGACGCTTAATATTTATATTTTAGTTCCCTGAGATTGCAAAATGCTGGTACTCTAATTCCATCTCTTCTTTTTCATTTTTTAGCTGAAAAATTATTATGAAGAGACAATTCTTGTTATCAGTACTATTTGATTACCCAGTGATAACATCATTAGGAAAGGCAGGATAAATGTATCATCTTTCCCTTCTTTTACCAAACTTTGAAATATGGATTAGTTCCCTAGTAGTTTCTAAAAGTAAGCATTTTCTCTTTTTTGGAAATCTCAGTCTGAATTCATGAATTTAAACATATTTGATAGCTGCTTTTTGGGGTGGGGGACCAGGGATTGAACTCAGGGGCACTCGACCACTGAGCCACATCCCCAGCCCTATTTTGTATTCTATTTAGAGACAGGATCTCACCGAGTTGCTTAGTGCCTCATCATTGCTGAGGCTGGCTTTGAACTCATGATCCTTCTGCCTCAGGCTCCCAAGCTGCTGGGATTACAGCTGTGCACCTCCACCCTAGCTATTTGATAGCTTCTAACCAATTAAAATTATTATTTACTGAAATTCAAATTGTTCCATCTTTAGCCAGTGGGGGAAATTTCTTCAACTTGTTCCTCCTTACTTTCAACACAATTTGGGTAGTCTTTGATAATCTTGTTATTGTCTAGTTGGACAACAGTTTCATTTTGTACATTTTCTATCCCAGACCTGAAATCAGCCATTTCCCGATGATGTGCTGAGTTATTTTAATGAGAAATGGTAGACTGGGATCATACTGTGGGTGTTGGAGATGTTCACTGCTGCTGGATTGGGTATTATTTTCAATGTTTGGTCATTGTTTCCAGTAGACAGAATCAACAGTGTTTTCAATGTACAGAAAAGGAAATGCACACACGGAGAGATATTTAAAGATAAAATATCTCATGATTTGTGTTGATCCCTCCAATTGCAATCTGTTCTCTCCCTTTTGGATCTTCTTTGTCACTCTTTAATATTTGTCACTTTCTCTCAAATCTCTGCTTTTTTCTGAATTTAAAAACTTTTAAAAATTTTTCTTCAAAGAAATTTTTTCTTCTTTTTCACTTATTCTTCAGGCAGTGTTGTTGAGTTTATTTGCTCTTACTTTCTTTCTGGATTATTCTTCCTTTCTTAAATTATTTTGGCTTTATTTATAAATATTTCCTGAGTGCTGTCTCTTCAGGGCTGAATTTCTAATGCTCGTTTCTATGATTTCATATCATGTACTATTTTCTTTTATCTCATTTGAAACAATAGATTACAGTTTAGGTTTGTTTTGTTGCTATTCTTTCTGGGGTGATCTCATTGCCTGTGGGGATGTTATTTAGCTCTTTGCTCCATTTTTTTTCTTTTTCTTTATAAGAACTATGTGACCTTGATATTTTCCATTGCTTCTTTTAATGCCAAATTAGTTTTCCTGAATTTTCATTATAAAGTAGGAAATTCAGTTCTTCATAGAACTTCCTTTCTGGTTTGGGGGTAGGTTAAAAATAAGGCAGCTTGCTTCAGGATATTTCACTATTTGGGTCTGGAGCTTTTCTTTTCTTCATCTTTTGTCCATGTCCTATTCATTTTTTATTCCAGTGCAGGAAATTTCTCTTCAGTGTGAGACTCTGTCCTACCCAGGGCCCCTGGCAGGTTGGTTTTGAGGGTTCATAGGAGCTGAGCTGCTCCAGCCTCTTCTTTTTCTTTTTAAAATATTTTTAGTTGTAGATGGACACAATACATTTATTTTATTTATTGATTTTTATGTGGTGCTGAGGATGGAACCCAGTGCCTCCTACGTGTGAGGCAAGCACTCTGTCTCTGAGCCACAACCCCAGCCCTCCAGCCTCTTCTTGCTTTATCTCTAATTATTGCTTAAGTTCTATCTCTTCATTGACTTTCCCCCCATGGGTCTGACATTGGTATTGGCCAAAACCCTGCTTCTGCTGCTATCCCCAGATTGGCCTGCCCTCTTTCCAGCAAATGCCTGCTGGGTATTTGGAGTCCTCCTGTTCCTAGGTTCATCAATAGGCAGCTTCCTTATCCTTTCTCCCAGATAGACACTGATGCCATGTAGGTCTTGTGGCTGTTGGTGGTTTGGCCCCACCCACTTGCATTTGAGCATTGTGGGGTTTCCCTGTCACCTAGTCTCATGGCTTGGGCATATCTCCTGGAATTCATTTGTTGGAAACATAATCCACAAAATCATATGTGATTGGTATTGGGAGATGGAGTCTTTGGGAGGCAATGAGAATTAGAAGAAGGCATAAAGGTGAGGTCCCTGGATGGCATTAGTGGCTTCATAAGAAAAGAAAGAGACCAGACTAGCACATTTGCTCTGTCTCCACCATGTGATGTCCTCCAACATTTTATGACACATCAATAAGGCCTTTACCAGATGCCAGAGTGGTGCTCCTGGACTTCCCAGCCTCCAGAACCATGACATGAGCTAAGTACCCCTGTATTCTTTAGAAATATCCAGTCTGTGGTATTCAGTGATAGCAACAGAATAGACTATTTTGTTGCAAATGTTTGCGGTTTTTCTATGCTGTTGTTCTCTGTTTTTTTATGTAAAGATTAGGAGAGCCTAAAAACTATGCTGTCATCTTCCCAGAATCCTCTCCCCAGTTAATTCAATTATAAGTGTATTTGGTCTTACAGTCCCTGTGGGAGGCTACTTATAACTTATGGGTGTTGAGATTTTGTTTCTATTGGGCCTGAGAAGGTTAAGGACTTTAAATCTTCGCTGTTTATGATGTCACAATTAATGACCAAACATAAGGAAAGTAAAATATGAAAATAGTAAATTCCCAACTTACAAGAATTTTTAAAAAACATTTAAATTTAATTACAGCAGAACCATGTCTGAGGATTTGGAGATTACTTTAACGATCAATAAAAATAGTCAATTGTGTATGTGTTATCAGAAATAACAGAATGCTGCTTTCTTTTACAGGGTATATGTGCATAAATTACTTGTAAACAAGCTTCATAGGATGTAACAATATATTTGCACATATTGTAAATTTTGCTTTACTTTACTGATCTTGTATTTGGGAGATTGTTAAGAATTCACACACACACATGCATGCGCAAAGAAGATGCAGGTAGTCAATCAATAGATCTAATGAGTTCTAACAGAGCCCAATATGGACCTTTAGAACTAAGAAAGCCTCAAGTGGTAGTCTCCTCCAGACCACGGCCTCAAGAATCTTTCTAACTCAATGTGCTTAAGTACAGATAATATTAACAATTGTTAACGATCTATAAGATATGGGTTTTGGTTTTGCTCTCTAGTGTTTCTATCAGATGACAAGGTATAGTGCCAACAAGCACAGCAAACAGAAACAATACCTAAGCACGACTTCAAAAAAATAAAAACAGAGCTATGGTAGCTAGGAAACCACAGCACAGATAGCACACTGAAGAGGAATAGTTGAGGAGCCAGGGGCAACTCTAGGGCCATGTTACGATGCTATGCAAGTGGCATTGCACTCGGTTGCCATAGCTACAGGACTGCACAAGCTATAGACACACAGGCCCTATGGACCCACCCACCCTGCTGCCACTGCCTTCCACACCTGCCCCTGTGAGTTTTCTACAGCTCCAGTGCAGGGAGAAAAAGGCCATATGGCTTAAATCAAAATATTTTTTTCACTTCTAAAAATCAGAAAACCAGACATTCAGAGCAGAAGGCAAGGAAACATTGGAAAATACTGATTTCCCAAGGGCCAAATGCTTCAGAATATCTACTCAAGGAGGAGAGGCCAGTAACCCTCAGATGCCCACCTCCTTATCTACTCTCTTGCTCCTTTTTACCCTCTGATTCCTCTCCTTGATGCACAGATCCTGTCTCTCTGCCTCCCCCATCCTCAACCCCTTTGCCTTGACAGCTGCACTCGGGAGAGTTGTGACATTATTTAAAGGAATACGCATGGATTGAGGCACTAGAGCAGGAATTAGATATTTTGGTACTACTCTGTTTTCTTCCAGCAGGATGAAAGATATGCTCCTGAATGCCACTGTAAGAATCAAGGCAAACCCAGGGCAAGCTGAAAATAAGCTTGTGGTTCAGGGATAGAGAGTAGAGAGTAGAAAAAATAGAAGAAAGCATCTTGTATATGGTTAGGAAGGTCCCTAGGTGTCACCCTGAATCTGGAGGTTGGGCAGTGTGCTATAGGAAACACATGTTGGAGAGGCTTCCAAGGAGATCCCTAATTTTCCCGGGGCTATTCTTCCTTGAGAACTAACTTGAACTTAGTCAACTTTGGGTGGGGGAACTTCTTCACATTCATAGATATCATGATGTGAATTAAATAGTTTAGGTTCTATTTTGGGACTTCGGATGAGGTGAAGTCTCTACACCAATTAAGCACACATTTTTTTCCCTATTCACACCTATGGGCCAATCCAGCCCTAAATCTCCAAGATGGTGTGGAATAAAGGAAAGGTGGCTTTTTCATATGCATTAGTTTCCTAATACTGCTGAAAGGAAGTACCACAAACCAGGTGCCATGGAACAACAGAAATGTACCGTCTTACGGTCCCAGAGGCTGAATATTCAAAATCATAGTCCTTCTGAAAACTGTTAGTAAATTCTTCCCTTCCACTTCCCAAAGTTTGCTGGTAATCTTTGTTGTTTCTTGGAGTCTAGATGTATTGTACCAACTCTTCATTATCACATAGTGCTCTACCTGTGACTCTGCCTCTTCACATGATGTTCTTTTATAAGAACACCAGTCATCCCAGCAGCTCAGGGGGCTGAGGCAGGAGGATTGCAAATTCAAAGTCATCCTCAGCAACTTGGAGAGGCCTTAAGCAGCTTAGCGAGATCCTGTTTCAAAATAAAATAAAACAAAATTAAAAACATCCCTGTGGATGTGGCTCAGTGGTTAAGCACCCCTGGATTCAATCTCTGGTGCAAAAAAAAAAGAACACCAGTCATATTGGATTAGGGCCCACCCTATCCAATATGACCTCATCTTAACTAATTATGTGTGCAAATATCCTATTTCCAAATAAGGTCTCATTCTGACATGTGGAGGGTTAGGATTTCAATGCATCCTTTTGAGTGTGAGTTGCTTTACCTCTCTGAGCTGGGATTTTCTCATTTATGAAAAGAAGTCACAGGGAAGTCATAATAACTACCCACACGGATTGTCACCAATAAGGAACAGTAGAGAAGGGCAGCAAAGGAGAAAAGATGGGAGCAAATATAATAGAGAGTGATAGACCAGACCTTGTGGACTTATCCCTTCATAGCATGCAGTACTTCTGATCTGTGAGTGACAGCTAAGGCAGGTAAGAAATCAGACTGTTGGTCAAAGGTAGGTGAGCAAATCGCTTCACATGACCCTGTGTGGGTCCTTTTAAAGTAAGAAGCATTTGATGTTCTCTGAATTCAAAGGCAGGGGTGTGGTTAAGCTCTCCCTTTGCCCTAAGGCTGCGTCATGCCAGCCCTGCCCAGAGATGAGGTGTGCTCCCAAGGTACTTGCTTCATGGTGTTCTTAACAGATTCATCAGTGCTAAATATAGATACCCTGGTTCATGTTCATTCATTCAATCATTCACCATTCATTCATTTAACAAGTATGTATGGATCAATTGAAGGTATAGAACAAAATAAACAATCTGTTGTGACAGAACTTTCATTAGAAAGGAGGGGACAGAAGGTGAACATCTAAAACATGTTGATCTATAATGCCAGACAACCATGCAT